TGCCAGACATTGCGATGACATTAGCATGCGCTGAGTCCAACAGAGAGTTATCTCCCTGATGACTCCTTTTGCATCTACTCGAGTTACTCGTAATCGCCTGTCTGTCGCCATGATTTATGGTGTCTCTGTTGGTTCCTGCATTATGTGTCTCACCTCTGGATAGTATTATGAGAGTAAGCAGTCATCTTTGTTGTTGCTTCTCCCTCTCGAACCCTACTATGCTAGGTCGACTTCGCATTTAGCTATTAGGAGTCTGTTCGCACAAAGCTTCACTGCCCACTGACCTGCGTCATCGCATTTTTCCTTAACTTTGATTTGTGTCATTACAGGTGGGGGGTGAGGAAAACCTTCGCCTTCGTCCAATTGTACGAACTTTACATAGTGTTATCGGCTCATTTTGGGTCATTGTTGGAACTTCCGTCTTCTTGGTGCTTCAATCTCCATGAGCTTCCAGAAAGTATCTGGTTGTTTGTTTACTGTATCAACAAACCATATGTCCGGTGGTCCACGCCGTTTGGACTGAGCAGGTACCTCTACTTTGCTGGGATAACTTTTTTTATGAGTGACAAATTTTCCTGAGTTGCTTTTAGGCCTTCTAGTTTCGCTCTCATCCTTCCTGTTGTGATCCAGTTTTCTCGATATTGGAACCAAAGGTCTCTAATTTTCACCATCCCTCTTTCTATCCATGCTTTTTTGAAGCTTCTCTTTACTCTGTGTGTTGCAATGGAATCTCATTTTTGTGTTTTGATAATAAAATTTTCGAATATGATCTGCATGAATACTTATTGTTTGGTCACTAGTGTCGACCACCTGTTTGGTTTTACTTTACTTCACGCCTTCAATATGTCATTCCATAATTCGGGTGGGTATTGTCTTTGCAAGTAGGATTTCATCCAAAGGCAGACCCAAATATTTTTCACGCGTTAGAGGTTTCATACTTTCAGAATTTCTTTTGCTAATAAGACCCAATGTTGTTTGTCTGTTGAGCAGATGGCCCGGATTACCTAGTCTGCCAGCATGACAATGTTTTGTCTCTCTGGGTCTCTGAGCCTCAACCCTCCGTCTTTTCGTTGGAAGTAGATTGTTTGTTTGTTAAGCAAATGACCCGGATTACGCAGTTTGTCAGCATAACAATATTTTGTTTCTGTAGGTCTCTAAGCCCCAGACCTCCATTATTTCGTTGGAAGCAGATCTGGTCCCATGCCACCTTAGACAAATATTCGTCGCTTTTTTTCGCGAATAATTTCCAAATTAAATAGGTAGAACGACATTTGATACCATTTTTGTTTTTCGACCTAGGGGGCGGATCTTTCTGACACACCACATCACTGCAAACAATGGTACATTGACTACCAAGGTCCTACCCATTAGGGGGAGGTGCGAAACCCTCCCCCACGTGGAGATCCGATTTACCACATTTTGTTGTAACAGTTCATTTTGCCCCGCTGCACAAGAGAGGAGGGCAACCTGGACGCTTATAAACTTTTTTTATTGTTGATCTGGAATGCGTTTTATGCCCCACTAAACTTTGAGATTGTATGGGCGTGGAAGCAAGAAAGTTTACTTTGACTAGTTCATGGATGCCTCCGACAGCTCCTCGTATTTTTTCAAACACAGTTTCAGTGCTCGGAATTAGTCATTAGTGTTTTCTGCTACCTCAAATAAGTCGTCTGCCAAGGCCGTGACCTGACAGTCATGTCCTTAAGTGGGGAGGTCTATTATAGTTGAACTACCGCTAACGTTACAAAGCACTGTTTCTAGCTGCACGACGAATAACAAGGGGGTTAATGGGCAACCTTGTCGAAGAGGACGAGAGAGGGAAAATGTTTTCGAGTAATGACCGTTTACCATAACCGCCACAGTGGAGAATGAATACAACACTATGACTATAAAATGCCCGTTTACCATAACCACCGCAATTGAGAATGAATACAACACTATGACCATAACCAACGTAGCGTGGTAAAAACGTATGACCGATCATACTCTTTTTCACGAGTCCGCTTACAGATCTTCCACATTGAGTATACAAAATAAAAAAAAACGGAGAGAAAGTTGTCCCCCTTGTCATCGGGTATGGGGTATGAATTAATGGGTCCAGATGCATTGAGCTCGACATTGATCTTTCCATGTTTTTGGGGAAAACTCATTGTCGAACGCCACCTTTGGAGAGCAGTGCAGAGAGGCCCGATCGTGAAGGTCTTCCTTTCTCGAACAGAACATTGTCATCTGGTGATGCAGATGTTTTTTCAATTTTTTTAATGCAATTTTTGTTCTTTTTTCACAATCAGTTCATAACCCCATCTATTCGTAGGGAGCAACACGTGCTGGAAAACGGGTTCAACGTCCCATATACATAAAGATCAAAGTACAAGCACATGTTGCAACCCATACTTCTTCTCCAACCAAGGAACAACAAAAAACTTTTAACAGGTAAGCCTCAATGTTATGCCTCTAACTGCCCATTCTCAAAAAGGTCTTCCCTCTGTCCCTCTGCTAGGTCCATAAATCATCTAGTCTGTTATAAACAACTATGTACCGCCTCACAAGTTACATCAACATTAAACAACACAGATAGTAACCAAAGCCGACGCAAGACTCTCCTTCTCATCCGTACTGATGGGAGAAACGAATGATTATCATGCCCTCTTCAATACCGTCTACTCTATCAAGGTGCAAAGACCAATGTTCACTAATATTCAATGAGCTCAATCACACTACGTGTACTTTACCTGCCTTACTTCAGAAGAGTCTTCCATTCAGATACATACTGATTCATCGCAACACTCTTCCCATTCTAATCGTTGTCTGGTCGAAAAATTGCTGGAAGTTAGCCCTGTCATTCCTCCTCCTCCTGTCTCTCTCTCTCTCTCTCTCTCTCTCTCTCTCTCTCTCTCTCTCTCTCATCTTTCGGATCATCGTTCCCGCTATTCTATAACGTTTTTGCTTAGACCACCTTATTTTCTATTATTCTGCTCGTATCAATACTACCTCCTGTTTTAATCTAAGTTAGTATGAATAATTTCTCATGACTCTCTCTCTCTCTCTCTCTCTCTCTCTCTCT